TTTAGGCACTTTTTTTTTAAAGGCAACAACTCCACGTTAAACTAATTTTTGAATGTTTGAAGAGTTTCTGGTGTGGTGTGTTAACATAACCTATTCCATTTGTTAAGATAATCCTGTTTCCTGCACAGATTAATGGATGAGATACATGTAAGAAATCCAAACATATCTCTGTGTTCCATATTTCATGGATTATCGATGTCTTGACTTGCATTCAGGATCGGACAACGAAGGCGCCCACCAAATTAACATGCTACGTCCCACAGGAATGATCAGTCTCCACTCCTTCAAAAAAATCATTATAAACCCACTTCTTCATAAAAGCGTATCTATTAAACTGTTAATGGCTCCCGACTGATTCCTCTCTTGCAACTGTCATTAGTCTAATACTATCCTTACCTTTTGTGTCACTTTACCCCACTCCCTCTAGCATGTAAGCTCATTGAGCAGGGCCCTCAACCCCTCTGTTCCTGTGTGTCCAACTTGTCTGGTTACAACTACATGTTTGTTCGTCCACCCATTGTAAAGCGCTGTGGAATTTGTTGGCGCTATATAAATAATAACATAATAATAATAATTAGTAACGTTTAACATCTGTATCATTAGATCATTGGACAGAAATTGAGAAATAAGACAACATACAGATCTAAATTGAAACATTGTAGGACCACAAAAATCGTGAAACTCCTGTCATAGCACTACCCATAGACATGCAAAAATGGATGACTACGTTTCTCATTAAACGTAAAGGGTTACTTTAAACACCATGACCACTTCAGTGATTTGAAGTGGTGATGGTGCCTGAACTCTATATGCAATATTTTGCTTTGAAAGGTTGCACATACTAAGTTTAACCTCCGGCAGAGTCATTAGGGTGTCACCAGCCAGCAGAGAACTACTGTTCCCAGCCGGCTAAAGTCAATGCTGTGCAAATTTTGATGCACAGAATATAATTAATTGGCTGATAGTGGTCAGCTGTCATTCTCAGCCAATGAATGAATGTTTGCAGCCCGGTGGAGATGGGATGTTGTAAATCTTGCTTCGGTGGAGACCTAGTGCTCGGCAGTACCAGGCAAGGTGGTAAAACAAATAAGCAGTGGGGTAGGGGTCCCATATCTTAATGCAGCTCCCATCCAGGGCTCTGATGCTCCTGTGTCTTTAGTCACACCCTTTGTGCTGCCTCCTTCTTCATCCCAGTGCACTCACTTCTTTCTTTCAACCCATAGAACCCAGTTCTGCCTTTTTCCATGTTACAGAACTCTGTGCTCCTAGCGCCACATTCACAAAAAGAGTCTGTTCTGAGCTAAGAGGATTGCTGTAGGGGGTCTAATAGCAAGAGCAGTATGGCAGTATAAGCCCTATAGGCAGCTCATGTTTGAGATATTGTGCCCGACAGACAAGAGAGATTATTTAAAGGGACACTTTAGCAACCAACACAATTTCTACACTTTTGGCTTTCATAATTGGCTTTGATTTCTGCATGAACATGTTTGTAAAGTTTGTGGAAACATTATCCCACTGCTCCCATTTTTGAATATTTCCTTCTTGTTTGGTCCTCAATTTGTGTACACCTCCCTTTCAGCTCCTCCCTCCTAATCTGCACTGTAATGTCAGGAAGCAAAACAAAGGTTCACATGAGTTATAGTTGAGCTAAAAGCATTCATAAATAGAAAGCTGATAACTGAGGCTGTGCTAAGCAGTTCCTGATCCCTACACTAAAGTCTTTGCAGTGCTTTGATAACCATGTCCATAAATTCAAACGCAAGAGACCGAAATAAACTTTGTATGCCCGGCACCATAGATGCCCTTTAAATTAAGATGAAGAAGATAGCATAGCCTATAAATGAAATGTACTAGGTAATAGGTAGTATAAATTAAAGTTGAAGACTGAGAAATAAAATAACATCCACAGAAAGTAAAGTACATTTCTCTAATAGTAACATTTTATGATGGAAAATTTTCCTTTTTTTAATGGCCTATCTTAAAACAAGCAATATGTAAACAGTAATTATTTATACTCGTGCCAGTATGCGGATTCCTATTAGATAGCAGAAAGGTAAGAGAATGCAGTAGCCAATACCAATTGTGTGCTGTAGAGAATCCTCACACTGGCTGGCAGGAAATTAATTAATTAGTGCCAAAATATGTTTGCTCTGACAAGACTTTGTGTCAGTGTGTTAATTGAATTGAAGGATCAAAAACAACAAAGCTGGTAGTAAGAGTTTCCTAATGCACCTATAATTATAATTTTTAATAGCATGTGCCAATGTTCTTAATGAAAATTGCATGCAGAAGGTTGATCTGTAGAGGAGGTTAGTTCCCTGGGCCAGAACAATCTGGCAAAAGTACAGGTCAGTTTATGTCACTGATACACCGATATCACTTTTAGTCCCTTTACTACCAGTAACGTGTTACCATGAGCAGACTTCCAATCCCTTCTATACACGTTTCTTCATCATTGTAAAAACGTGCAAATAAAATAAATGAATATTTACTCCGGTCACTTTCACTCAGTTATTCTGCGACACATTTGTGTTTTTTCACCGTCGGTTAAATAAAAATTAACGACTATATTGTCATTTTTTTTGTCATTAAATAATGTGCTATCTATACATACTGGTTAAAAAATGTATTTAAACACCACTATGGAACACACACAAACAAAAAATAGAACAGAATCGCCCATCTAGAATTAATGAATTCTGTCTGCTCTTGGGTGGAAGAATAGTTGACATGCAAATTCTCAAAAGGTCTGAAATCTTTCTCCTAATGCGGTAACTCTCTGTTGGACAATAGTGCTGCCATCTAGTGGTTCCACAGATATATGTGACATGTCATGATTCCCTTTTATTCCAGAAGTTTGGTCCTTAAGGGGTTAAACATCATTAAATTTTCTGCCACATGCTGCATAAAGAACACTATTGTAATACAAAATAAGTAACAAAAAAAAAGTACAAGACACAGTTAATGTATCGATAGACACAAAGTCAATCGGGGATAAATCACACATACATGCAGACAATGCAAAACGTTAATCACATAGAAAATGATTTACATTTATTACATGTTTTAAATATTGTTCTAATTCAATTGATATGGGCAAGTTTAACGGTAATACATGCAGAAAAACCTTGCATACATGAAAAAACCCCTCTCGAAAAATTTAAAGTGGTACACATCACAAATGCCAAAAAGAAAAATATATATAAACACATAAAGATAAGGAAAAAGAAATGTGAAACATCCGTAATGTATATAGTGAATAGCATGGCAGCTGTAGCAGTATATATAATATACAAATATATTATGACTGCATTCCTGAAATAATAGACAAAATTTCAAAAATAGTTACATACATCAAATTCACTATTCAAGCCCAAAAGCTTGCCTAAAGGAAGTTTAAAAATCCCTTTTGCCTTGTCGTATTTCTGTATCTGATCAACAATCTCCTTCTCTGTGTTGCTTCTCTCAATGCCCTGGACCAAAAGTTTTGAAATGTCAGAATTATTACAAGCACAACAATTGCATGCTATAGGGGAATCGGTGGCATAATGCTTAATAGCATTAATTTGTTTTTGAATATAATTCTTTAAAGGTCTCTAGGTTTGGCCCACATATTGGATTCGACAAGTCCATCAAGTTAAAAAGTAAACAACAAATTAAGAATTGCAGTTGACATATTGTCTAATATGGTAAATCTTTCTGGACACAAAACACTAGCAGTTTTTGAGACAGAACAGACAATATCGGATTGTTCCGCACCTGAAAGTCACTACATAATTATCAGTCATTTTAGATTAAACAAGAATAAGGGACAAATACTTTGTGGCTCTACCTGTCAAAGTGTGTATGCCAGTGTGAGCAATGTGTTCAATTCAACTATCATAATATAACGCTGGTACATCGTACTTTTTCTAAAATACGTTTTATTTGCATATATTATTATTAAGTCACCTAAAATTTCCCACACACACACACTCCTAAAATTAAAGTGTCCCTCTTTGTCCATTTAGAATGTTGGGAGCTGTCAATAAAAAGATTAACATAAAAACAAAAGGGGCATATTTTGAATGAAATACAACATAAATCGAGATTAGGATTTTATTATGTTTAAAAGAAAAATCGTAGAGAACTGATTTTATTTGGCAATTATCATTTATCATCAGAGTAAGAACAAATTCAGCACATGAAGGTATTTCTACAGATCCTAAATCAGCTTGTGTTCTCACGAAAAACAATTAAAAATAAATATCTTTAATATGTAATTACAAAGGTACTGTTAGTACATAGCCTTAGGTAAAAAATACAGAAACTATTGCAGACAACAACGCAATACACGTGTACCTTAAAGAGACAGTAATGCTTCAAATTTATTTTGTCTTATGTAAAAGAGCGTATTCAGGAACCTAACATGTGTTCTCTAGAAAGGTTGGATTAATTAACAACAGATATTGGACTGCCATTATTTTTATCGCATCACTGACCACAATTTTAGTTCTAACTGCTGTCTGCCGAGTTGAGCCAATCCAACGTCACTTAGTTTTTGGATACAGCACACACATACAGCACCCCCACACACACAGCACCCACACACACAGTACCCACACACACACACACACACACACAGTACACTAACAGCACTCTCACACACACAGCACACAAACAGCACATTCACACACAAACAGCAACCTCACACAAAGCACACTAACAGTACCCTCACAAACACACAAACCCACATTGAAGGTGTTGGTTACAGCTGCCCTGCCCTATAAAAAACACACACCAGTTCTGGGTTTGCTTTTCACAAGAAGCATTGCCTTATGTGAATGATGCCTCGCACAAAAGAGCTCTCAGAAAACCTACGATTAAGAATTGGTGACTTGCATAAAGCTGGAATGGGTATAAAAGTATCTCCAAAAGAGATTGCTGTTCATCAGTCCACGGTAAGACAAATTGTCTATAAATGGAGAAAGTTCAGCACTGCTGCTACTCTCCCTAGGAGTGGCCGTCCTGTAAAGATGACTGCAAGAGCACAGCGCAGACTGCTCAATGAGGTGAAGAAGAATCCTAGAGTGTCAGCTAAAGACTTACAAAAGTCACTGGCAAATGCTAACATCCCTGTTAGCGAATCTACAATACGTAAAACACTAAACAAGAATGGATTTCATGGGAGGATACCAGAGGAAGGCACTGCTGTCCAAACAAAACATGGCTGCACGTTTACAGTTTGCACAAGAGCACCTGGATGTTCCACAGCAGTACTGGCAAAATATTCTGTGGACAGATGAAACCAAAGAAGAAACACGCAACACTATGTGTGGCGAAAAAAAGGCACAGCACACCAACATCCAAACCTCATCCCAACTGTGAAGTATGGTGGTGGGGGCATCATGGTTTGGGGCTGCTTTGCTGCGTCAGGGCCTGGACGGATTGCTATCATCAAGGGAAAAATTTATTCCCAAGTTCATCAAGACATTTTTCAGGAGAACTTAAGGCCATCTGTCTACTAGCTGAAGCTCAACAGAAGATGGGTGTTGCAACAGGACAATGACCCAAAGCATAGAAGTAAATCAACAACAGAATGGCTTAAACAGAAGAAAATACGCCTTCTGAAGTGTCCCAGTCAGAGTCCTGACCTAAACCCGATTGAGATGCTGTGGCATGACCTCAAGAAAGCGATTCACACCAGACATCCCAAGAATATTGCTGAGCTGAAACAAAATAGCGGAAGATGGGGAAAAGCTCTTTATCTCTCAGAAGAATGGAGTTTACACCCGGAGGTATTCAAAACCATCACATTATGGTGGGGCATGCCCCAGATTAACCTCATGGCCAGTCAAGAGAATAATCAAGCCTGCCTGTTCTTTTATCAAGCTCAGGACAAGATGCGTTATCTCAAAAGTGGACTTTCGACCTGGGGTATGTGTTCCCTCTTCTACCGGTGATTCCTCATCTACTGAAGAAAATTTGAAAAGAAGGTAAGTTAATAATTGCTATAATCCAAATTTTGCAGAGGAGACCCAAGTACCCTGGAGATGACCACACAGACCAGACCCTCACATGCTTATGGGCATGACTCTTGGAAGGAGTTCGCTCTGAAATCAGGGCCTCTTTAATTCTTTGGAGGACACCCTTCAAAAATTTAGTAAGTTTTCTACGTCTGGTTGTAATCAGCGCTTCTGGGAATGTTTTAAGAGATGGGCAGGATAAAAATCTAATGATTTCCTTAATACTTCTCATCCACATAGCTTGGAAAAAGGACTAAGTCTGACCACTCTCAAAGTCCAATTTTCATCCATCACAGGATGAATGCCGTGGTGATTTACATGGCCTATTGCTACAAGAGTCTTCTCTCCTCAAGACAAGATCAAGGCTCATTCCACTAGATCACTGGTTACTTCTTGGGCAAACTGGGCAGAGGTTCCTCCTGATGACATCTGCAGGGCAGCAACCTGGTCCTCCCCAGTTACCTCCATTAAGCACTTTAAACCGAACCTGGCTTCTTCCTCTTCTACTGCCTTTGCTTTTCAGTTGACTGTCTTATAGAAGCAGGAGAGATATTTTACACATGCAGTCTATTAATTGGTTTTCTGTTTCCTGTCCTTTTTGGTTCTGAGGGCATAGCTACCCATAAGTGAAAAATTAAAAATATTTGGGAAAAGAAAATTATGGCACATGTTCCTTATTTTCTCACATACCGTTGGTGTAACAAAAATAGATAAATAGTATCCATAGAGAATTCACAGGTTCAATAGAGAATTAATAGGTTAAGACCATTGGGCCAAAACATTGTATTATTTTGTGTTCGTTTCTTCAATAAACTGCACAATGCATCCTACCTGTTGAACCTGTGGATTTTCTATTGGATGCTATTATTTGGATGACGTAGGCTTCCACCATGGAGTACCAAGGGTGCATTGGTTCCCACACCTATGCCCCAGGAGTGCGGGTTGTTTGTTTGTTTGTTTGTTTGTTTTAAAAATTGATAAATAAAAATAGCCCAAAACCTTGCTTATAGGCATTTGTTAGGACCCTAAGGGGATTATTAGCCGTACAGCTTACTGAAAATGGCAACAGAATGTAAAAGGAATGCCTGCATTTGAGCACATTGCCCACATATTATTATTATTATTATTGCCATTTATATAGCGCCAACGGATTCCGTAGCGCTTTACAATATTTTGAGAGGGGGGGGTGTAACAATAAATAGGACAATTACAAGAATAGGTTGAAGAGGACCCTGCTCAAACGAGTTTACAGACTATTGGAGGTGGGGTATTTGAAACATTAGGACAATAAATATCAAGTAGGAGTGAAGCAGAGCTGGAGGAGAGAGCAAAGCACTGTCCCATAGAAGAGAGCAGGAGACAGGTATGTAAGGTAGAGATTACTCTGGGAGGCCATAAGCTTTCCTGAAGAGATGGGTTTTAAGGCCCTTCTTAAATGATTGAAGACTAGGGGAGAGTCTGATGGCAGTAGGCAAGCTATTCCATAGGAGAGGAGCCGCCCGCGAGAGGTCCTGCAAGCGCGAGTTGGCCGTACGGGTGCGAGCAGCGGTCAGGAGGTGGTCACGGGCAGAGCGGAGGGTACGTGGAGGGGCATATTTATGGATCAGTGAAGAGATATAAGCGGGGCTAGAACTGTTCAGTGCTTTAAATGTATGGGTTAGCACTTTGAATTGACTCCTATAGCATACAGGGAGCCAATGTAAGGACCGGCAGAGGGGTGAGGTGTGAGAGGACCGACTAGAGAGGAAAATCAGTCTAGCTGCAGCATTCATTACAGACTATAGCGGGGCAATACGACTTTTGGGGAGACCAATCAGGAGAGGGTTACAGTAATCCATGCGGGAAATTACTAGAGCGTGGACAAGCTCCTTGGTAGCATCTTGCGTAAGAAAGGGGCGAATGCGGGCTATGTTTTTGAGTTGGAACCTACAGGACTTGGCAACAAACTGGATGTGAGACTTGAAGGTGAGACCAGAGTCAAGTATGACGCCAAGACAGCGCGCTTGCAGGGATGGACTTATGTGGATAGGGTCGAGGAGAGAGTTGGAATTAAGGAAGCAGGACACACGGGTAAAGACAAGCCTTTCCAAAAGCTTTGATGAGAAAGGGAGCAGGGATATGGGACGATAGTTAGAAGGGGAGGATGGGTCAAGAGATGTTTTTTTCAGGATAGGTATTACAGTGGCATGTTTAAGGTCAGCAGGAACAGTGCCAGAAGAGAGAGAGAGCAGTTAAAGATGTGTGTTAGGGTAGGCACAAGACAAGGGGAGAGAGATCTGATGAGGTGAGATGGGACAGGATCGAGCGGGCAAGTGGTGGGGCGAGAGGAATGGAGAAGCGCAGCCACCTCTTGTTCAGTAGCCGGGTAGAAAGTCTGGAGGGTAGGGAAAGCAAGATTTACATGTGGTTGAGAAAGAGAACGGCAAGGAGGGGAGAATTGTTTCCTTAGCTGTTCAATCTTGTCGGTAAAGTAGCATGCAAAGCTATCAGCTGTAAGGTTAGTTTGGGGGGTGGCCACAGCAGGGCGGAGAAGGGAATTAAAGGTGTCAAAGAGGTGTCTGGGATTGCGGGAGCATGAACTAATGAGAGAGGAAAAGTATGACTGTTTGGGGAGGGCGAGGGCTGCGCTGTATGAAAGCAACATGAATCTATAATGGAGAAAGTCTGCCTGGGTGCGGGACTTCCTCCAGGAGCGTTCAGCACAACGGGAGCAACTCTGCAGATAGCGTGTTGATTTATTGTGCCAAGGTTGGGGTCGTGTTCTCCTCGAGGTGCATGTTTTGAGTGGGGCTGCAGCGTTCAAGGCAGATGTGAGGGTAGTGTTATATGTAGAGATGGCCAGTGAGGGACAGGAGAGGGAAGGGATGGATAGCAGTTGTGAATCAATGTCAGCTGACAGCTGGTTGAGGTCAATAGAGTTAAGGTTCCTCCTGAGCTGAGGGGGGTTAGGCTGAGATTGTTGGGTGAGGGGGTAATTGAGAGCAAATGATAAGAGGTGGTGATCAGAGAGAGGAAATGGGGTGTTGCAGATATTAGATATTGTACATGAATAAGAGAAAATAAGGTCGAGGGTATTGCCAGCTACATGAGTGGGAGAATTAGCCCACTGCAAAAGTCCAAGGGAGGAAGTGATTGAAAGTAGTTTAGAGGCTGCTGGGGTCAAAGGTGGGTTAATGGGAATATTGAAGTCTCCAAGAATTAGGGATGGAATGTTAGAAGAGAGGAAGTAGGGAAGCCAGGCAGCAAAGTGGTCAAGGAAGAGGAGAGGGGAACCAGGGGGACGATAGATTACGGCAATGTTAGCAGAGAAGGGTTTGAAAAGGCGAATTGAATGAATTTCAAATGATGGGAAAGAGAGGGAAGGGGGGGTGGACAGGGTTTTAAAGGTGCAGTGGGGTGAGAGAAGAAAACCTACACCGCCACCTTTAATCTCTGCTTGTCTTGGGTTGTGGGTAAAGTGAAGACCACCAAAAGACAGTGAGGCAGGTGTAGCAGTATCAGAGGGAGAGAGCCATGTTTCTGTTAGTGCAAGTATATTTAGGGAGTGTGAGATAAATAGGTCATGGATGGAAGTAGATTTAAAGGTGCTGCACACAGAGCGTGCATTCCAGAGGGCAGCTTTAAAAGAGGAATTATAGTGAGAATTACATGGAATGGGTATTAGGTTGTCGTGGTTTCTGGTGTTTGTACCAGGTGGCTGAGAAGAGGAGGGACCAGGGTTTGGAGAGACATCACCTGCTGCTAGGAGTAGTAGGATGGAAAGGAAGAGAAGGTGGGAGTAAGATTTAAATGTTGGGGATGAGAGCAGGGCCGGTGCAAGGATTTTTGCCGCCCTAGGCAAAAGTAAAGTTTGCCGCCCCCCTCCTCCCCCCCGTGACATCGCAATGCCCCACCCATATGACCTGCCATGTTAACTAACGCTAGTGCTGCAGTGCCGCTGTGTTTACATTAAAAGGCCTGCAGGGACAGACTATAGACACCAGGACCACTACATTAAGCTGCAGTGGTTCTGGGGACTATAGTGTTTCTTTAATGTGAGGTAAATTAGAGATTAGTGCCACGAATAATATACTAGATTACCTAATTACAAGCAGATGAGGATGATGATGGGCTCTAGCTGCAGTCTGGCTCCACTGGTCTGGTGTATAACAGGATCTCTGGAGGCTGTTTGTAACTGTGGTCAG